AATTAATAAAATGCATGGACCGGACAATATACGGAACAAACATTGACAAACGATCTGAAAACGGATTTGATAAAATTCGATGTGTAATTGAAGACCATACAACGCCCTTTAACCCGACACAGAATTTTCTTTGTCGTTTTAAACGGCCAGAAAATATAAAAATCGTCTAAGATAAACTCCCCACAAAATCCTTGATCTGAAGCTGAGGGCTAACCGCATCATTCCAATGGTTTTGGGTGCATTGAAACACCACATCAATGAGGGCTCCTTCCAAAGGCATGGCATGGCCCATTCCAAAAGCCACGGCATTAAATTCTACCCCATTTTGCCGCAATACCATGCGCAAATGCGAACCATCGCTTCCCATGCATTGCGCCCGAACAACGCATACCCCGTTGGCTTGATAAATGGGATGCATATGATCGGGGCCAAAAGGGGCCAACTGGGCCAAAATCCGTTGGTGCTTGGGTGTTAAAGTATCTAAGGTGAGCTGGGCATCGACGTGGATTTTTGGCGTAAATGGCCATAGAGGCGATTGCCGCACAATATTTTTAAATTGGGTTTTAAAGGCTTCCAAACGGTTTTTTGGCAAGGTTAAGCCAGCGGCATAAAAATGCCCGCCAAATTGATACATATGGGATTCGCATTGGCACAGGGCCGCATAAATATCAAACCCTTCGACGCTGCGGGCCGAGCCCACCCATTCATCGGGATTTTTACCTTGACCCAATACAATGGTGGGCTGATAGCGGGATTCTATCAGTCGCGATGCCACAATGCCCAATACGCCCTTGTGCCAATGTTCATTAGATACAATGGTGGCCATGTTGTTGTCGGGTTCCAATTCGTTCAATTCTTGCAAGGCTTGGGCATGCATGGATTGATCGAGTTGTTTTCGGGTTTGATTGTATTGTTCAATTTCATAAAGCAAGGTGGACAATGATTCGGTTTGGGTTTCCAATAACAATTCAACGGCTTTTTGGGCATGAAAAATCCGACCCGCCGCATTGATTTTAGGGGCAATGCCAAACACCAATTTTTCAATGGTAATGCTTTCGGGGGTTACATTGCCCAACATATGTCGAATGCTTGGCCGATCGCCACGGCGAATGGATTCCAAACCCAAGGCTGCCAAGGTTCGGTTTTCTCCCGTCATGGATACCAAATCGGCCGCTATGCTCAAGGCGGTTAAATCCAAACATTGATGAGCGGTTTGATTGGGCAATAGACCCTTTTGTTCCAAAGCTTGAATCAGTTTAAAACCCACCCCACAACCGCTCAATTCTTTAAATGGATATGGACAATCGATTTGTTTGGGATTTAAAATGGCATGGGCCTTGGGCAATATTTCGGGGGGCATATGGTGATCACACACAATCACATCGATGCCCAAGGTCTGGGCATAATCGATCATATCGACCGATTTTATGCCACAATCCAAAACCACCATAAGCCCAATGCATCCATGATGGGCCGTATCGATGCCCATTTTTGACAATCCATAACCTTCGGCATAGCGGTCGGGTTGGTAGTGTACCAAATGGGGGGTAACTGTACGCAAGGCCTCAAACATGCAAACTACCGCCGTGGTGCCATCCACGTCATAATCGCCATAAACCATAATGCGCTCTTGCGTGCTTATGGCATGTTGAATCCGAGCCACGGCCTTGTCCATGTCTTTCATTAAAAACGGAGAATGCAATTGTCCCCAATGTGGCCTAAACCATTCTTTGGCATGATCCAATGTGCGAATGCCTTGGCGCACCAAATGTTGGGCCATAATGGCATCCACGCCCAATAGCTGTTGCAATGGTTGGGTGTCTTTTTTGGATGCAGGGGGTTTGATTTGCCATTGATGGGTCATGGAGAAACATTTTGTCTCACAAAATTAATGATTTTATTGTGGGTTAAATCTATTGTATGATGATAATGATTTTATCGATTAAAATGGCCTATTTTTGGAAGATTAAATCATTGACATGAAAAGCGTTGTACATCCGTCCGATAGCCGTGGTTACATCAACCATGGTTGGTTAGAAAGCCATCACAGTTTTAGTTTTGGCCATTATTATAATCCCGATCGAATGAATTTTGGGGCATTGCGGGTTTTGAACGACGATATGGTGGCTCCAGGCAAAGGTTTTGGAGCGCATCCACACGATAATATGGAAATCATATCCATTCCATTGGAAGGCGATTTGGAACACAAAGACAGTATGGGCAATACATCGGTCATTCGCCATGGGGATATTCAGGTAATGAGTGCTGGTACGGGCATTGTGCATAGTGAGTTTAATAAGAACGTCGATCAAGCGGTAAAATTTCTTCAGATTTGGGTGGTTCCCAATCAAAAAAATGTAGCGCCCCGATACGATCAAATTACCTTAGACGCAAACGATCGGTTAAACCATTTTCAACAAATTGCATCGCCCCATTCAAACGATCAGGGGGTTTGGATCCATCAAAATGCTTGGTTTCATTTGGCCAAGTTTTCGGCCA